CTGTGCTCTGCCTTGCGACCCCATTGATTCTGTGCAATAAGCGTTTCCTGGTGCTTGAGCACCTGCTGCCTTTCAGTTTGCTTAGCTGGGTGTGTGTGCGCCGTGCAAACAGATTGCTGAGAAAGGAAGCTGGTTTTTCTTGATCCCCTGTAAGTCGTTCTGGAAGCACTGTGCTGTAGTTAGGAGAAGGGATGAGCTGGCTATTACACTCTAAACAAGTTATGTTTTATTTGTTAAGTGTTCTTGATATGATAAGTTTCCTTATTTCTAAGGTGGCACTGCCTCTCTCTTCCACTACCATAGATTTGTCGGTAGGTGTGGGCTTCAGGAAAGATAAGAGGTGTACGTGGGGTGTGTTTTGGTGGCTCCCTAGTGATGTTGTTTTAGTTTTGAGTTTTACTTCAGCCCCTCGTGTGGCTGCACTCAGAATACGTGCAATTGCTGTGCTGTGGGCAGTTGCAGTTGGGGCAATGGCAGTTGCACTGATGGGTGCAATCGCTGTGCTGTGGGCAGAGCGCATGTGAGAGGTGGCTCCTTTCCTCGAGCGCGCGAGCTGGCTGCCTTAGCCCAGACTCCTGCGCCTCGCCGTCCCTAGGAGGCAGGGGGGAGCTGCAGCCGCTTGACGCGTGGGCCCAGGGCCGTGGCGCTGCTGCTGCTGCTCGGCGCCCCGCTCTGCCCCTCTGCCTCCTTCCTCCCCCCTGCGGCAGGGATGTCCCAGCCAGCCCGTCTCGGCTCGTGATAGGGCCCGGTCCAATTCCTGGCCGTGCGCCACTGCTTTCGACTGCTATTGCTGCTGATTCCCTAGCGTGCAAGTGCGGTCGATGCCCGTCTCAAGTAACTTCTGTGCTAGTAAACGTGGGCAGCACAGACAACGTTTCTGTGCTGGCAGACGGTTTTTCAGCAACTGCAGGTGAAGGCCCTGTCGCTCGTGTTGCGTGAGGTGATGCTCTGATGCCAGAGCTCCTGTATCCCGGCACTGCAATGCGCGTTAAAGCTGCTGCCTCCGTTGCTGAGTCACTCATTCCTTGTACTGCCTCTGACTAAGGAGACATAATGGCTTGGTGGTGGGTGTAATTTCTTGTAACAAGCAACTTGATAACAGGACCACTGAAGAAAAGAGGATAATTCCTCTCACTTTATCTAACTTCCTTTCAGTTCTCTCTCTCCTGGAGATGCTTCCCTTCCTGTGGAGATAGGGGAGCGATGAGAGGCAGGAGTTTTGCAGTGCAGAGCAGCTGATGATTTGCTATATCCGGGGGATACAGACAATGGTGGCAGTGATGTTCACTGCAGCTGTAATGACTAGGAATATAAAAATGCACTGAATTTGCATTATTTCCTATGTGTTTTTAACCGTAATCTATCACAAAAAAAAAAAAAAAAAGTTTTAGTTTCTGGTTGTTGCAAGAAGCTCTAGCAGCTGCGACATTAGCAAAAATAAACAATATGCTCTTCCCCACTGTAAAGCTGCTTTTGTTTTTTTGGACAAATCCTAAATGACTTCGTTTTGTTCTTAGGTAGTAGGGCGGTAGGTGCCCTTAGGTGGTAGGGCAACCAACGGTTGTCTGCACAGACATAGTACATATTCATAGTGGATGCAGGTATACGGCAGGGTATATTGCACTATATAATAACAATAATAATAAGTAGTGCCTCATTCTGCAAGATACGCCCTGTAATAACAAGAGTCTGTTATTTCTAATCTTCTAGCTATAGCATGAGAGAGGAAGAGACTGTTCTAGACATAGCCTATTGACAGAGACAGGAGGAGCAGGAAAAACAAATAGATTGTGCTAGTGATCTGTTATTTTATCCCTTTCCTTCAGGCAAGGGAAAACAACCACGCACTCAAAGGGCTCTTCTTCTTGGGTCACCTCATTAATTCGTCCTCCTTTACTGATTCTTTTCCCAATCCAGCAGTGAATTGTTGCATTTCTCTGACTTTGAAAATTAATGCTGTAGCCCAAATCAAGTGTAGATTAAAGCCGTCACCATCCTATTAATGGACTTTGTGTTCTTCCATGTACCCTGATTTGTGATCTAGCACTGCCAAAATGCTCCATTATAGGAAATCTTCATTCATTTTGGATGAAAATGACTAAATTTCTTAACCAGCCACAAGGCTGCATTAAACATCAGAATTCCGTTAAATGGAGTGTGCATTTATATTAGTACATTGCACTTTTTTCTTTTTTTTTTTTAACCATATATTGGTTCATGTGCTTGACTTTTGTTGTTTTTTTCCTGGACCATTTGGAAATAGAGTACAAAAACAAAACAAAACAAAAAAAAACACAAAAAAAGGCAGTGTAGAAAATAAGATGTTTTTCTGACTAAATTGCAAAACCCAAGCACAGTCTCTTTAATTATCTGTTGTCTAAAGCAGGGAATTCTTAAGTGCTACTTTTATTATAAACAGTATCTCCTTATTACAACTAATACTACTCATTAGCCTCCATTTCATGGGTTCCTACTGTCGTTGATATCTCACTAATTCTTTTTAACTAATACTTCTGTAACCGAACCACCCGCCACTTCCCACAAAAAGTCCAGGAGCCACAACCATGAGTTGCTGCAGACTGGGGGGAGTTTTAGGGGGCTCTTCTGTAAGGCCTATAAGGGGTTAACAGGGTAGCGTGCGCTCTGCTTCTGTAAATAAAGCTTGCACCCTGAAGTTGTATAAGATATAGACTATGTAATCTGCATTTAACTTTGCCGTCCGCTTCTGTAAATCTCGCTTGCTATAAGGGAGGATAAGGACTAACAGGTAATTTACAGTTAACCTTGCCATCTGCTTCTGTAAATATCGCTTGCTACAAGGGAGTATAAGGACTAACAGGATACATACCCTGCTCTTGTTGCTTTTGCCGTGACCCCGAGATAAGATTCCAAACATGCCAAATGGTAAGGGGATTGTGAAAAGGGGAGTTAGTCAATGGTGGTCGTAAGTAACATTTAACAAAGAAGTTGTAGTCGTCTATAAAAACATGAACCTCTCCTCCAACGGCGCGGATCTTGGGACAATCTGTAAGAGGTCCGCCGCCGGCCGGCTAATAAAGCTTGCTTTTAAACCACCAGGTTGAGCGTGCGGGTGATTACTGGGGTTACGGACTAACACTTCCCTCTTGTGTGGGTACTTAGCAAAATAAAGGCAGCGGTATCACAAAATTTCAGTACAGAGGCTGTGTACAGTGAGGCAAGAGATAGGCGGGACACAGGAGCAACATGGCATTTTGCCTACCTAGATGGGCTTCCTGGAGGATAAAGTTACCTGAACTCTGCCCAGTACTCAAAAACAGCCTTGCCATATAACGTTACCAAAGAAATGGGAGAATTTAGCCCATGGAGGCTTAGCTGTTGCTAGCGTTTGAGCTAGCTTGGGGTGGGGAAAGCCAACTAAGCAGAGGTTGTGCTTGTAATGTCTTCAGAAGGAGTCCTCCTTGAATGGGAAAAATGTGTGCCCCTCTGGGGAGGGAGCAGCATTCCCCAGGTTCTGCAAGGCCTGGAGCTAATTTGCGTGGCCAAATTAGGAAGCCTTTTGACTGGGAGTACAGGCTGCTTTAAAGGAAAAAGATGCTTGGAGAGCGTGGCCAGAAGTCAAGTTAAAATGCAGCAAAAAGGCTGTACAAAGACTCCTGTGAAACATGTTTTCTTTTCTTTTGCTTGTTCTACGCCATTAAATAGGAGGTGGATTTTTTTTAAAAAAATCTATTTTTCCATTAATTTTCCATTCCAACCATCCTAGTCATCAGTGCAGCTCAGAATGGTCATGCTGCATATCAGCTACACTACCTATACTACCCCTCTGAAGCAAATTTGCCAACAGAAATACAGTGCACCTGGAGTAGTGAAACATCGCAGGCTGCTCTTGGTGGGCTGAGCTTGCATTTCTGTGCATTTTGCACCAGGAACCCGTAGTCCCCAGCCCGCTATGCTGTTAGCATTTGGGACGCAGCAGCTAACGTTTTGCTAGCAAACCTAAGAAAGAAGATGGCCTTCTTGGTGCTCAGGCTATAATTTGCATGCTGTATTTTTTACTTTACTACAATTAAATTGTTCTCATAATTTTTAGCCTAAACAGCCTCCTCAGAGAGTTAAAATAATCAGTGGCCCAGATTTTTAGTTTTCTACCAAAAAAATACAATGCAGAGAAACAGGGTAAAATTTTTCGTGGCTCAGAAGGGAAGTTGTACCTTTTTTCAGTAAGAAACTTAGTGTTTACTGATAGTGTGAGGGTTGGATGTTCCAGCTAGTTGACCAAATGTTTCTAATGTCTTCGTGGTGGCTATTTTCAGAGAGGGACCAGTTTATTGCTTCAGTATTCACTATGATGTCTTTCCTGTTCTCTGTTGGGGAATTGGTTTCTCTTCAAGAAATCTAAAAGGGTACAAAGGGATACTTGTCTCACTTCTGAGTATATACATTTTAAACATTGTATTCAGCAGGAGTAGGAACTTCTAGGATATGTTGTCCTAAATTAACTGTCTACAGCAAGTGGATAAATGACTCCTTAAGGTTCCTGTTATTCTCCATTGACTGTAGAGTGGGTGTAATCAGTGATGCGCTGAGATGTAGGTGTGTACATATCTTGAGGTGAATCCATCTTTAGCACGGTCCTCTGCTATCCTTCCTCTTGGTGAAAGTCATTTCATAGAAATCAATAGATTTGTTGTTTTGTTTTTGCAAGATGCTTACTTGCTAGAAGGACTGCAATATTAACAAGGTGAATTTAATCATTTAAGTGTATCACAGTAGGAAGCTTCGTATTATATTGCACCAGGCAGAGCTCTCAGGAGCTCTGAGAATAACCATTCCCATTCCTAAGAGAGTAAATAAACGACAGCATAGAGAAAATGGGGTGCAAGGGGCCCCAGAGACAACTCGTTGGGCTGCAAAAGTAGACCTTCCTTCTTTGGCTTTCACACTATTATTGGATTTAGCCTTTCTTAAATCAGATTTTGATGGTAATGCAAAAATCACTTGTTTCTCTTGTCTTTCAGGTAGTTTGAAATAAATACATCCCGCTTTTCTGTGGCTTCAAACTACACTTACGCCAAGAAGTTGATTCAGATGCCAGTTGTGCAGCCAGTCCAAAGGCGGAGAGTGAGCCCGGGAGCTGGGACCTGCGGGAACATGAGTGGCTTCTTTGCAAAGGCAACTGAGAGAGAGCCTTTATTCCTTGTGTGACTGGAACATTTCTCCAAATACCTCTTGACTGCATGAGTCGTGTAGTTCTGCCCTAAACGTGCCCTTGGGCCCCTGTAAATAAATCATCGGAAGAATTGCTTGGACAGAGCAGTCTTTGAAGGAGGGTCTGTTGAGGAATCATGACCAAGAACTTGGAGGTCATCAATTTGTCGTTTTTGTTGGAACACGAGAGGGAAACAATATTGGGAGTATTGAAGAGAGATGAATATCTGAAAAAAGTTGAAGATAAAAGGATAAGGTAATACTTTGTATTTTTTAAAAAAACAAAACAAACCCCTTCTGTCATGAGGTGTTCTCGTGGACTGTGAAGGTTTTCTAGATGCTCTGGGGGAAAGAGGAGCAATGGTCAATGGTGGAATGCAAGTCAGTCAAGTGTGTTTAAAAAGAGAGAAAAATACTTGTTAGCACCCCTAAGTGTTAGTGTCCCTAGGTAAATGCATGATTGCAAAGTGTCTGTTGCTTCAAAGAAAAGGAAAAAGATTGGAAACTTCAATGCTAGGTGCTTTGGAGGCACATGGAATTAGTGAGAGTTATTTTCTGCTACTAGTGAGCCCATGTGAGACTCATCTGCAGCCTGTTGCTTATGCGTACTTCAAGTTAATGTCAGCTAGAACCATGGTATTGCTAGAAAGTTATCGTTTTGTCTTTGTAAGTTTGTGTAGCACTTAAAATGTAGTGAAAATGGTTTAGTAAAATCTGATTATTGTTCTAAAAATACATCCAAACTCTCTTTACTGATTTTTGCATTTACATTTTTACATTTAAGATTCCCCAATTTCTTTGTCATATTCTAAAATGTTCAAATAGCCTCAAGGAAATGAAATATATAAGCTAGATTTGTGCATGTGTCTTGAAAGCAAGCGAGCCTTTTAGAAATGAATGCTGTGCTTTGGTAAGGAAGGTCACTTAATTTTTTCTGTGGTACAGCAAAAATGAAACACTTCATTTTCTAGCTAACAGGTTCAGAGTGTCACTGAGAGCTTAACTCATACTGATAGCCATCAAAAATATGCAGTAAGGGGTTTTGAATTTCATAGTCTGTGCATTTTGCCCAGTTTGACTGAAGCCACTGTAAATGAAGGGAATATTTGAATCAGGCTCTCGACCTTCTTTCTGTGAGGGGAGCTCTTGCCTTGTGCCTGCAGGGCTGGCTGCGGGAGGGAAGGCTGGAAAGCCTCTCGGGGCAAGTGGCGTGTGCCCCTGTGCAGGGAGGCAGGTGGCAGGGGGCAAATGCAGGATCCTGGATCCTGCCCTGGTTCTGTCTCTTGCAGTATGCCCAGGAAGAGAAGGGAGGGACACTTTGTTTTCCAAACAGTGAGTACGTAAATAAAAATGAAGAGATTTGGTGTGGCTCTCAGAAGACACTGGCTGGGGATAAAAGGGGTTTAGGGGATGTTGACAGAATCTATATGTTCTTTTCTGAGAAAGAAGTTGAAAGAGAGAGAACAATGTGTGGAGGCAGATTGAGTCAGGGGTTTCAGATGATGACTCAAATTCAGTTAGTTTGTCTAAATGTCAGTGTTGCAAAGGTTTTTTGTATGCTTTCCCACTATGTTGCTGCTGCTTCTGCCTCCTCCCTTTAAGAGGTTTTTGGTTTTTAAGAAAACCTGTAAAATTTCCAGCTGTGCTAGCTCTGAAAAGCAGGTTTAGCGTGGATGTGCACAGTACTTGCTGATGGAGAGGCTGCTGGGTGTAAACCAGTGTTTGCTGGTTTCTGTCCACATATCCCAAGGTCAGACTCCCTTGTGACTTACTGAAAAGCATCTGAGAGAAGTGCCTTCAGCAGCAGTTCTCAGCAAACTGAATTTGTTAAGCCACTCAAAGGTAACTAAACTTCCAATTTGTTGGAAGTAATTTTGGAAGTCTTCTTACTTTGGAAGTTAAATATTTAAGTAGAGGAATGTGGCAGCTGATCTGAGCAGGTGGGCTAACCCTGCTTGGCCTTGTTGAGTTGCAAGACTGGGAAGGAAGGATGTTGCTGGGTGGTGGTAAGAGCAAATTAATTGTTTCATCTCTTTCATGATTCTTATGAAGATGAAAACAGAAGATGAGAAAACAGATGGAGCACTGTTTGGTTTAGACATTGTATATATTTTTGTAAGAGGATAAACATTTCAGCATTTCAGTTTTCTAAGGCAGTAGCCTTGGAAATGTGTCCCGTGCCAGTACTCAAAGGCTTCTGCTTTTGATAGATGGCTTTGAAAGATGGTATTAAGAGCAGCAAGGTATCTGGACACTAGTTTACCAAACCCCACAGAAATCTTTTCTTCTGTTACTAATACCGTTGTCTCCCAATCTCAAGTGCAAAGTTAAACTAGTTAAATTCTTTCTTTCTTTTCTTTCTTTCTTTCTTTCTTTCTTTCTTTCTTTCTTTCTTTCTTTCTTTCTGTCTGTCTTTCTGTCTGTCTTTCTGTCTGTCTTTCTGTCT